TGTCGGTCCCTCGGTGCCATGGGGTCTCTTAGTCCCACCTCCATCCTGAATTCCCCCTTCTCGCCAGTGTTCGGCTGCACGTTACGATTACCCTTTGCCAATGCGGCCTTTTGTGCGCGGATCTTGGGGGCGCGGAGCGACCAGACCCAAGCGTTAGGATACAACACTTGGGATGTTACATTCAGCATCCGCTGGTATATCGTTGATCGGAAACCGGCCTGAGCTGGCCTAATCCCGCCTCGTCCCGCGCAGTCTTGTGCAATTTTGCCAAGTCATGGGCCTTGTCTGGCCTGAATCGGTTTTACGACATGTTGCTTTCTGGTTTGATCGTTCTCAATCGACATCCTAGGAGTTGCCTTCTGACAAGCGCACAGGCGGGAGGCCGAAAAGGCGGACACGCGATAATCATTGAACACCTTAAACGGCTGCTTGCGGCAAGTCCTGCCACCGTGCCAGCATAGCATTGGCGGTGGCAGCTGCTCGAATCGATGATGATGTTGGCGATGATGATGACTACGACAACGATGATGATGATGATGCCGATGCTGTTGCCGATGCCGATGCCGATGCCGATGACGATGCCGATGCTGATGATGATGCTGATGCTGATGGTGATGGTGATGATGGTGGAGATGATGATGCGGAGGATCAGGATGGTGGTGGTGGTCACTGCATAAGGGAAACAGAATCCCGAGCAGAGCAACACGCACCACGACCACGACGACGCCGACGACGACGACGATGACGAAGACGAGGCGCGCTTACGATCCGCACCGAAGCACGGATTTGGGAAAGGGCCCACCCTGCAGGTTCGGTTAAACAGCACATCGTTGAGCGGTGCTGCAGCCTCCCCTGAGCACAGGCCCCCCCAGAGCATCAGCCAGACAAGTCGGGTTTGCACCCTCATGCCTTGCTGGACTCTGAGCGCGTTTCGGCACCCTCTCCCCCAACCTCGTCAGGGCCACCGACAAGGGAGAGGGCGGCGGTGGCCGACGCGTCCCCGAGCTAAGAAGCTCAAAGCGCCGCGGCTCAGAGAGCCGGGAAGACAGACAGACAGACGGACGGACGGACAGCCAGGCGGCATGCAATGCCTGGCAAGCCAAGTGGGTGGTCACTGCATAAGGGAACCAGAACCCCGAGCAGAGCAACACGCACCACGACCACGACGACGGAGGATCAGGATGCGGATGAGGATGATGAGGACGACGGTTTTTGATGCTGCTGTTGATGATGTTGTTAATGATGGTGGTGGTGGAAGTGATGATGCTGATGCTGACGATGCTGATGATGGTGATTATGATTATGATGGTGGTGATGATGATGATGATTGTAGTGGTGTTGGTGATGAGTGTTTTGTTGATCGCGATGCTGATGATGATGTTGATGCTGATGTTGTTGCTGGTGTTGATGGTGCTTCTCATGCTTGTGATGATGATGGTGATGATGATGATGAGGATGCTGATGGTCGTTGTGATGATGGTGGTGGTGGTGATGACGATAATGATCAGGATGGTAACGAGGAAGATACTGGCGATGATTATGATCTCAGTCTTGGCAGTCGCCGCTGAACTGGTGTGACCGTCGGATCGAAGATGTCGTGGTCGATTGTTTTGGCGCGTGCCGTTTAACCCTTTGGGGCAGCAAAGCGTTGTCAAATATTGCGCGGCTGTTGCACGACAACGGTGGGCGCAGTGTAGAGCCCGTCATGACAGCCCGTCGTTGTCAAGAGTATTGGGGCGGTTGTACGATGTGCGCGGGCACGGTGGTCGCGCGCATTTGGGTGTTCACATTCGTTATGGTGTTCGCATGTGGTTGGCTAGACGTAGGACTAGTGCAGGTCTTGAAAAAGTCTGCTTGGCTAGGTCGCGGATGTGCCTTCACTGGGCCCTGGGTAGGCCATGTACCAGCTCTTGACAGGCCGCCAGGTAGGCATGGGGCGTCGGGATGACCTTGGGCAGGCCTGTGTGTTCGTGGGCAGGCATTGGGCAGTCCCTGGGTTGGCATTGGGTTTGCTCCAGGTGGGCCTTGGACGCTCTGAGTCGTCTCGGCCTGGGGTAGGCGTAGAGTGCGTGAACGGTGTGCCGAAATCAGGCCCCATTGAGTCGTCTTGAAAGGCAGCTGTTTTTGTATGTCTTGTTTCGCCGATCGGCGCGGGCCCCCGCCCCCCCCCTCCCCAAAGAAAAGGATCTTGGCTGCTTTTAGCGGCTGCTTCAAGCGGGTGGATTGAGCACCGGGGCCCGCCCTCCCACCTCACCCCCCCCGGTGGACACACGAGCCGCTGCTGTGCGTGTGTGCGTTGTTTTCTCGAGGCAACCCTCTGGAAATGAAAAAAGGGGTAGCCAGCTGAAGTGGGATCATGCGGAATTCTTTTCAGACCTGCGGCCAGCTGCAATGTTCATTATTGTATGCCGAGTGGAACACGTCCACCGCGCCCGCAACAGCTCTTCTGCTGCGTGGAGTGCGCTTCCATTTGTCCGCCCAAACGGGGCGGAACGGAGAGGGAGTGAGAGGGCTTGGTGAGAGGAGAACACAGGGTAAAGGTCGACTGGGGTTCATGGTGACAGAAGGAGGGTACCATTCGATGATTGACTGATTGATCATGATTGATAGAAGTCATTCTGCGCTCTGATGCTGCAAACCCTAGTCCGTCGCCACATTTGCTAGAACCAAAGCGCGCAGCGCGCGCGTGGTTCTAGTCTATCTACAGATGTGTGTATATGTATATGAGGCGTTCCAAATATGGCCTTGCCTTCGAGGATCGAATGAGTTGTCATCTCTTCCGCCGCGGAAGTCGGCGGAAGGGCGGCGGAAGGTCAGCGGAAGTAAATGAGGCCGCCTCCGCCGGCGGAAGCCGGAGGAAGCTCGGCGGAAGGCGGCGGAAGCAAAACTTGTGCCCCCAAGAGATGAACACGTGTTTGGGCTCAGGGTTTCCGAATTCGCCCATATGAGGTACGAACTACATATGGATGTATATATGTATCTGTACATATATATATATGCGTATGTAGTTTGAAGCTTGCACGTAGGGAACAACATACAGTACGTTCAAGTTGACGAAGTCGGCAGTCCAATGGTGCGCCCCCCAGCTGCCGCGCTTCGCGTCATGCACCTTGGTCCTTGACGTTCGGCATGCAGGCGGAAAGGGACGAAGTTTTGCCGATTGCGCCGTTAACAACATTCGTTAGTTTTCCCTCGTGGTTTCTTTTCACCCTTGTTTCCCTACCCTGCGATTTCTTCCCCATCCTCCTCAGCTTTTTTGTGCGGAGGGTCATCCTTGGAGAGTTTTTGAGTGGCCCCGCGAAAGTTGTAAAGGCTTATTGGGGCCGTCTGGAGGCCTCCTGGGCGCCTTCTGGGGGCCTTTGGGGGCTTCCTCTTTTGCGACGAGGTTGTGTGGGGGGCGCGGAGTGGGCTTCATGCCTCCAAGACGGTCCAGGGCACTTCCGATGTTGCCACAGAGGGCCCTACGAGGGGTCCCGAGAGAGACCAAGAAGCCCCCGAGAGGGCCCACGCACGCCTCAAGACGGCCCAAGGTTGCTTCAGTGGCATTGACTCCCCGTGTGGTCTGAGCCATCGGGGTTTTTGTGAGCAGAGGCTTGCTAATGCAGGCAGCCGCCACTGCATCAGTTCACTGTTGGAATTGCTGCCCCCCGTTCGAACGGCGCGGGCAAGAAAGGACAGGAGAGAGGAGATGATAGGTGAAGGCCCGTCGCCAGAGACCATGTCGACGATCTCCCCCCGCCTGTCCGCAGCTTTTTGAGTTCCTAATTGGCCCACCCAGCTTCCCTCAGTGCATTCGAGGGGATTCCGGATTTGAGTTTTTGAGTTCGGAAGTGGCATTGACCATCCCGTGTGGTCTGAGCCGTTGGGGTTCTGCTTTCGGCCTGCTGCTACAGGCCAGCCGCCTTTGCATCAATTGTTCTCGGAGTGCTGCTGTTGCTGCTGCTCTGACAGGAAGGAGGATCGGAGGCACACATCCACTGTACGGGTGAACGCCGACCGGCCCTGGAGCCACGGCCCACCTCTCGCACATCCGGGTGACGCCCGTGTTGCCCCCTCCCCGGGGGGGGCCGTGGGGGGGCCTTTCCATGCCTCCAAGACCGCCCAGAGCAGGTCCGATGCCGCAGAAAAGAGGGCCCCAATGGGAATCCCAAGAGGGGCCAAGAGGTCCCGCGACGGCCCGACGAGCGCTCCAGGACGGCCCAAGGCAGGCTCCAAGACGGCCCAGGAGGCCCCCAGGGCGCCTCAAGAGGCATCCCCTGATCTCGGCGGAGCCCTCACGTCCTCTCATACAGTCCAGGCGCTGAAACCAGGACCGCTCTGGGCTCAGGAGGGGTCTGGCTTTTCTGGCCGTTCCTTATCAACCATCGGCGGCGAGCGAGCGGGAGAAGTGAGAAGGAGAAGGCGGCGAGACTTCTCAGAAGCCCTCGCGCCTTCTGGGAGGTGTCCTGCGTCTTCGGGGAAGGCTTACGACACTTCTCAGAGGGACGGTGGACCTCCGAGTTTTCTGAGAAGGTCCGCCCCTTCTCACTTCCTCCCACGGCTGGCCGCTGAATCTAGGTCGTGGTCCCTATTCGTTGCCGAGGCTGGCCGTGGCCAGAGAAGCAGCCTCTCTCGTTGTTCAGCGCTCCCCATGCTGGCCCGATGACTGTACCTCCCTCCTCTTCTCCCCGCCGCCACACCTCTCGCCCCCATCCCCTCCCTCCTCCCTCCCGCCCTGGTTCGCTCCCTCCATCCTCTCGCACTCCTCCTCCCTCCCCCGCCCTTCCAGGACCATTGAAGTCACACCACAGTCGAGGCTTCAGATCCGATCGGCCCGGTTCGATAGCGGTCTCGGCAGCCTCGCACATATTCGATCCCGATGCTCCGACGATCCGGTGCGTCCCGATGGCTTGCATGGCGTCGTTGGGAATCTTGGCGCGCCTGGTCCGATTCGATCCCGAGTCCATGCCGATGCGACCAGATTCGATCGATGCACATTTCGACCCCGCCCAGCGCACAAGGCGAGCCACGGGTACCACCCCAGGATGCAGGCAGGGCGCGAGTCTCTGCGCTTCGCGCGCCGCCGAGGGGGGGGGGGCTGGGGCCGAGCTCGCTGTGGTGCAGGAGAGCCTGGTCGAGCTCGCTGGGGTTGGCCGAGGGAGGACAGGGATGAGGACGAGAATGAGGAGGGGAGGAAGACGAGGAGGAGGAGGGGCAGGTGGAGGAGGAGGAGCAGGAGGGCCAGGCCTGGGATGAGGGGGTCCTCCTGTTCGTCCTCGTCTGGGCCTTCGGGGGCCCTCCTCGTCGCCACGGCTGCATCCGCTTCGAGATCTGGGTCAGGACGCGCTCCAGGACAGGTCTCGGTCGGGGGGTGCTCAAGGTGCTCCTGGCGTAAGGTGCCCCCTGCTTTTCGCTCCATGCTGGAGCCCCCTGTGCCTCGAGAGGGGTGCTCTGGAGGCCGTGGGGGCCTCCTTGGAAATCCTGGAAGGACCCTTAGGCCAGGGGTATTTCTAGCAAACCGATTCGGGGCCGACGTGCGAGGAGACGGGGGCGAAGAAACAGGAGGACGACCAGGACGACGAGGAGGTAAGTTTGTCTTGGGCGGACAACGAGGACGAGGAGGAGGAGGAGGAGTAGGAGGAGGATCACGAGGAGGAGGAGGAGGAGGCGGAGAAGCAGAGGGAGTAGGAGGAGGAGGACGCTGATCAGAGTGACCCCATGATGCGCAAACGATAGTGCAATACACCTCCCGTCATAAGCACCCTCCTTAACCCCAAACAGCCGAGAATAACCCCCCAGGGAGAATAAAGTTCGGCGGTTACGGTGTGATAATATAAGTTGCCCACCAGAGGCCAGCATACAGATGTTAACAGAGGAGCCCAAGCCGAGGATATCTTGAGACATCCTTGGCTTTTGGTCCTCTCTGAGACATCCTCAACAATGGCTTGTCTCGCTTGAGACATCCTCGACAAATCTCTCGTTTCGCTTGAGACATCCTCGAAATATGTGTTTGCTTCGCTTGAGAATTCCTTTTTACTGCTCGTTTCGCTTGGGACGTCTTCACATAACGTGTTTGTTTCGTTTGGACGGTCCTCGACGAGCGTGCTCGTCGAGGACCGTCCAAACGAAACCTATTACATTTTAGTTGTAAGCGCTTAACGGAAATTAAGATGTTCATCTGCTCGTGTAGGGTAGCTCATCTGCCTCGTTCCCCCATGATAGTCAACCACAGCGATAACAAAAATTCAGGGGGCACGGAAAGAAGGAGACAGGTTGAGAGAGAGAGAGAAAGAGAAAGAGAAAGAGAGACAGAGGACAGATAGAGAGACAGAGAAAGAGAGAAAGAGGTTGAGAAAGAAATAGACAAATCTATAGAGAGAGACGGAGAGAGAGAGAGAGAGAGGAGAGGAAGATGAGAAGGAGGAGGAAAAATCCAAAGTTCAAAACTTATTCGATTTTATTTGTAAGCGCTTAATGGGAATTAAGATTTTCATCTGCTCGTGTAGGGTGGCTCATCTGCCTCGTTTCCCCAGGATAATCAACCACAGCGATAAACAAGTTGAGGGCGCCAGGGGGAGGAGGAGGAGGATGAGGAGGAGAGGAGAAGGAGACATCCTTAAGAAACGTATTGTTTCGCTCGAGACGTCCTTCAGTGTATGCTTGTTTCGCTTGAGACATCCTCGAGTATATGCTTGTTCCGCTTGAGACATCCTCGACAAGTTTCTCGCTTCGCTTGAGACATCCTCGAATAATTGCTGGTTCCGCTTGAGACATCCTTGAAACATTGATCGTTTCGTTTTAGATTGCCTCCCAAAATTGTTGGTGTCGCTTGAGACATGATGTTGCTATCTCAACATAAGAAGGAAGTAACCTCGATGGCGAACTTTTCACGGTGATAATGAAGTTCGGCCTCCGCGCCCCCGCGCCCCCGACCAAACTCTTATTGGCCGTGGATAATCAACTCTTATGTGTATAGGGGGGGGAGTACATTCTTATCGTGGGTATGGGGCTATACTGTTCCCTACAGACATTCCTATACATATTCTTTTCCACTACAAGATGCCTCCCTGAAAGACGAGCACCCGATGGCCATGCCATTCAAGCGAGACCCTCTTCTGAAAAGGAACGGCTGGCATCCTTCTGAGATCAGACGGTTGCGAGACTCCTACGTTTCGGGCAAGCAATATATGAGCAAGCGGAGGACCCATGTTGAAACGGAGCCACCGGTTGCGTTGCATCGGTTCAAGGCTCTTCGCTGCTGGGTTTGAGGCAGACGCAATCGAAAGCCACATTTCGAACAGGAGCCGTCGTCCACCCCTGTAGTTGTTTTAAACGTATCAGACGGTTGTGCGCGGCCCTTCCAGGGCCCCTCCTGATAGACCGGCTCCCGATGGGTCTGCCCTGCGGGCGAGACGCCCGCCTGGAAAGCGAGGAGCCTTCTGCCTACCCTCCGAGTGGGTTATCAGGACGAGGCGGTGCTGGCCAGACGTGCAGTCTCCGAGCGCTCGAGGGCCCTGGTCGGCGCGAGGAGTGGCCAGCGATCGGCCAGGTGCCGCTCGCTTGACCCGTTGCGCACTGAACTTTTGGTAGGTGGACCTCTCAGGCTCTCCGCCACCTCTGGCGGTGCGCGTTGCGAGCAGGAACGCAGCAAAGCCACAGGAAAGCGCGGCTTTGACAGTGTAGCTCCGCACGCGTGACAGATGTTAACGAGCAGGAACACAGCAACGCCCCAGGAACTACACCACCTGTTTCCTCGCCGCCTTGTCCACGCTCAGGCCATGTGCAGCCGAGGCGCCTATTGACTGACCGATCGGCCGAGGAGGTGCTTGGAGGTTCGAGGGTGTGGCCTCCTGGGGCCTCCGAGGCTTCGGGAGCCCCCTGGAGAATCCCACCGGCTTTCGCGGGGGCTCTGGTCGTGCGTTCTCCAAACCGGAGGTTGACAAACCTATCCTGACACGTCGACTAGCGAATTGGCCGTTTTCGGTTCGCGAGAGGGCGTCGCGGCCGTCATTGTTGCGGGTCCAGGTCCGTCGGTTTCGGTCCCAGGCCGTTTTCACTAAAGGGTGGTTTACTAAAGTGGGGGGCTTGTCCACCGTCGACTAAAACTGCGGGCCCCGGGGGCCCGCTTTGGGGTCTGGAGCCGTCCACGAAACGGTCCGCTGCAAAAAGCTGTTCAAGAGTTCTGGAGACCCGCCTTTGAGAACACCACGTCGCAGGTCTAGGAGGAGGGGGGCCTGATGCCCGTCCTCTTCTGGGCCTTCCGGGGCCCTCTCGTCGCTATGGCTGGATCCGCATTGGGATCCTGGTCAGAGCGCGCTCCAGGACAGGTCTCGGACCCGATTTGTGAGGGGGGTGCCAGGGGCGAAGAAAGAGGAGCAGGAGGAGGACGAGGGAGTACCATGAGAGGGCAAGGGCAAGGAGGAAAACGTTGACCCATGCTGCATCAATTATGCTGCAATGCGCCCCCCCCGACCAACGTCCCCTCCTCAAAAGTCCTACAGATCTTCTCTTTTCACTACAAGAGGCCCCCCCTGAAAGACCAGCACCCACCCGCCTTGCTGCTTAGGCGAGACACCCGGTTTGACAAGGAGTTTCCTCCTGGCATCATTCTAGCGATCTTCAACACGCGAAAGGGTTGAATCATGGATTCAGCGGGGTCTTCAGCGAGTGCCCCGCTCTGAATATGGTCCGCCCCCCCATCTGTGCAATCGTTGCACAAGCAAGCTTTTCCAGAACTGCATTTCAAGCAGGGGTTGACCGAAAGTTCAGTGTTGAAACCGAGCCGCTCTCTATCCGTGAATGTGTTGCATCTGTTCAAGTTCCTGGTCGGTTTTAAAGTTGAGGAACTCGCAGTCGAGAGTCCTATCAAGAACGCCTACGGCGAATCACCGCCGCCCCCTGCCTTTTTGGAAACGCCTGCGTGGCCGAAAGTTGGATTTGAGCTTGGCCAAGATATCGGGCCACGCCTTCCCCGAGTGGGATTCGAAAGCCTTCGGGGAACACCGAGTCGGGCGAGCTATCGGACCAGGTGGTTTCCGATCTTTCGGGCCTCCTGGAGGACGTCTTGGACGGGTCTTGGGCCGTCTTGGAGGCCTCTGGCGGGCCTTTTGGGCAGTCGAAGGGCATCTTCAGCCATCTGGGGCCGTCTTGGGTGCATCTTCGGGCCTTCTTGGGCGTCTTGGAGGCATCTTGGAGGCCATCTTGGCCGTCTTGGAGGCCATCTTGGGCGTCTTGGGGGCCTCTTGGGCCTTCTTGGGGCCGTCTTGGCGGCCTCTTGGGCTGTCATGGTGGCCATCTTGGATGCCTATTGGGCGCTCTTGGGGCGATGTTGAGGGCCGCTTGGGCCGCCTTGGGCCGTCGGAGAGCTGAAACGGAGCACAAATCCTTGAAACACGTAATGCAATTCAAATGATGTTTGCCTTTTCGGGCCTTCCTGGAGGACGCCTTGGAGGGGTATTGGGCCGTCTTGGAGGCCTCTTGTGGACCTATAGGGCCGTTTTAGGCCATGTTGAGGCCACCTGGGGTGGTCTAGGGTGCATCTTCGGGCCGTCTTAGCCGTCTCGACGGCCATCTTGGGCGTCTTGGAGGCATCTTGGAGGCCATCTTGCCCGTCTTGGAGGCCACCTTGGGCGTCTTCGGGGCCTCTTGGGCCGTCTTTTGAGCCTTCTTGGGGCCCTCTTGGGGGCCTCTTGGGCTGTCATGGGGCCAGCTTGGAGGCCTCTTGGGCGCTCTTGAGGCGATGTTGGGGACCTTTTTGGCCGTCTTGGGCCGTCGGAGAGCTGAAACACAGAAAATGCGAACATCTTTCAAAAACCAAAGGGAAACCAATGATTTTGACCCTTTGGAACCTTTCTGGAGGAGTTCTTGGAGGCCTCTTGGGGACCTCTTGGACAGTCTTAAGCCATCTTAGAGTCATCTTAGGCCGTCTTGGAGGCTTCTTGGACGAACATGGTTGCATATTGGACTCTCTTGGGCCGTCTTGGAGGACAACTTGGACCATCTTGGGCCATCCTGGTGGCCATCTTGGGCCAACCTGACCATTTTAGAGGCC